GTTACATTTTTTCACAGTTTTCTTTTTTGTTGCATCGCTATTTATCGACGCTTTTGTTTGGGCCGCAAGCTGTACGCGAATCTGAACACTTTATGCATCACAGATGCTCTGTTCGTTCAGCACGTGAGGCATATTCGTTTTGCTTGGCACTACGAGTATATTCGCGTCTGACCACGCCCACGACCACAGGTTGAAAGGCTTTGCCACTTGGTAGTGATTCCTAAGAAAGAGAGAGAGAATAATGCTTAGCTAGTGTATAGAAGAGGACATCTCTGTTGCCATCGGCTATGTAAAGGATATATCGGCTATATGCTATCGAAATATCGATATATGCAGGTGGCAGCTGGCAGTGAGTGGTGTAGTCCACTGAAAGTGAAGTCTTGTAAGCAGATCCGAGAAATGGGCTTCATCTATTCTATATCCATACTGTATCTAATATCTAGATCTTTAGTTTTCGTAATCAGTATCCTTTTGCATTATATATGTATGTACATACGTTCATGCGCGACTTCGTCAGTTGGTAACACAGTTGGAAAGAGCTTATTAGTAGTCGTACACCTGGTTATATATTATATTATTTACATGATAGCTTCTGAATATATCATAAAATACGAGCTAAAATTCGATGGTTTTTTTTGGTTCTTCCTAAAAATTGAAACCTGACATTGTATCATAAGAATAATTCATCCCATGTTCATGCGATCGGATAGTAGTCGTTCATTGGAGTCAGTTATTTAAAACTAGGGATTGCATATTTACTCCCGTGAATAGACCAATTTTGAATATCTTTCTTCTGGCCACCCAAATTATATTTCATATAGTAGAACTAGATATCTGGATCGCGATTCGATTAAGAAGTTGTACCTAGTACATGGGCTAGCTCAAAATTCATTTACCATAGTAAGGCATTCCACACACATGTGTATATGCATGTATGTGTGTTTGTGTGCATAAGAAAGTGTGGAATGATTGGAATGGCTTCTGCGCGCAGGAATCAGGGTATACCCTAGTCAGGTATACCCTGCCCCTCCCGCTCACAGCACTCTCATTTGATCTTTGGGTTTTCTCTTTTGAGACTTTCTTTGAAATATTAGAATACTAGAAGTTGTATATAGTTGTCCTCAATATTCCGTTTCTATTTTATATTTGAAAATTCTATTCTATTTCTATTTTATATTTTATCATTTATTTATATCATAAGACCTATAATTCTGTTGTTCGTTTCATTTAAATAATCTAATACTCTTCTTTGGGATTTGCCCATAAGCGTCGGAATCTTCTGCTCTATAGAAAATCTGGTGTAAAATATTGTTTCATATGGATTTTTATGAAGCATCCGTCAAAGATTGCAATAACCTGTTTCATTGTTCCAGAATAATATGATATATGTATGTGACCAGATGATATTTTCTACTTACTTGTCAATAAGACTTTTAAATGGGGTATATAGAGTATATATTCAGCTGTTCGCATTATAGATAATAATAAATTTTATAAAGTTTGTAGGGTATTATGCAGTCGTTTACATCCGATTGCAGTGCTCCTAGTTGTGCTCATATTTATTTCGATTTTTCTTTTCTTTTTTTTCTACTTTTTATTTTGGTTTTGGTGTGTGTGTGTGTGTGTTTTTTGTCTTTTTTCCGTCTCTGATTGGCTGGCAGTGCAGTTTTTCTGCCTCAACGCTCTTTGCGGTTGCGCATGGGGGGCGTTTGGGGGCGGGGCTGTTTGTGGTGCAGCCAATTTGCAAACTCATGCAAATTCATATATTTCAATTTTGCAAAATAAAAACATCAGCAGCAACAACAACAACAACAACTAGGAAACAAAGATTATATGCAAGACAGACATATAAATATGTTGAGTATATATTATACTATATGAGACAGACATACCCTACGAATGACAAGTGACAGATCAGATATATCTATATAAGACATGCAATAAAACGATATAATCTTAGACATGTGATACATCATATCTATTTTCATATCATATCTGATATATTCATGATAACACATGAATGATAAAAAATATATATGTAATACTTTATGAACTATATTTATTATATGTATTTATAAATGGTTGAAGTTAGACTAAAGTTTGAGTTTCTTTAGACATGCTCGATTTCATTTTTTTTAATTTTAAGTAATACAAATATTTTTCGAATACGTACCCGAATATATATAAGTTACAATACTTGTTATAACCTTTTTCACATAATTAGAATCATATATATCTAGAGAGAAATAGGAAGAGATATATAGACCCAAAAAGAGGGAAAGAGATCAAAAAGAAAAGGAGTGAGAGCACTGATAAAGAGTGAAGAATATATCTGCCTCTGCCTCTTTCTTTATCAATTCTCTGTATCTCTCTTTTCATTTCTCTCTATCGATTGACTTATGTGTCATTTAGCTGTCTCTATCTCTCTTCATCTCTTCTCTAGACCCCTCTTTTTCTTCCTCTCTCTCGCTTTCTCTTTATCTTTTTTGTGTCTTTCTCTCCTTCTCGCTTACTCGTTCCCTTTCTTTTACCGTTCATGTCTCATTTTTTCTCTCTCTCGCTCTCTGTCCCTCTTTCTACTCACTGTGTCTCTATTACTCTCTCTATATGTGTCCCTCTCTGTCTTTTCCTTCCTCTTTCCTTATTATTTTTCCACTTCTCGCTTTGCTGTGTGATCATATAGAAATATCCCATATATCTCATAAGCTTAGACTCACTCAGGCTTAGTTTTTTCTACTTCCAAAGCTGAAAGGGCCTAGACTTGACCATCCCATTAGATACTGTAATGAGAGTTTCGCAAAATATAATTGAGAACTATCTTTCTATAGGCTATTCCTATTGTGCACATCTCTTCCTCTGTCTCAATTTACCTCCAAGCTAGCTTTACTCTATATGGAGTCTATAGAGTCTAGGTAGAGGTCATGCCAAACTGCTTTCATTCTTTTACGGGGTATTTTCGAGCAGGTTCAATGGATTGACAATGCCAAAGCTCAGAAACGGATACGGAAACGGGGCAGTCCAGTTGTCCGGTTGTCCAGTCGGTCAGTCGTATAGTGGTCCACTGCCACGCCCAGTTGTCGAAAAAAGAGGCGAATATCGTGCATGTTCATTAAGCGCTAACGAAATCAATGAATGGTGTAAAAATTAATATCCTGTGCATAGCAAACAGAAAAAAAAGAAAATGGAAATGAAAATCGAAAAAATGAGAGAAAGAGAAAAATCGCGGGCAATTCTTATGCCAAGTGCAGCTCTAACAGGCTATGCGGGTGGTTGGGGCTTGTCAAGGGGCCTGAGCGGGAGGGTGAGGGAGGGGGGGTGTGGTAGGAGGAGGGGGCTGCGTCAGCCGGCAGCAGTTTTAATTTACACAAAGCGTAGTCAGGCGTGTAATGCGACAAGGCTGCTCGATGGGGCGGAAGAGGGCGGGGCGGAGGCGCAGTCTTGTTGCCACGAACTGAAGTCGGGCGGGGGATGGGGGCGTGGCTGACTGCACGACAATTCGCGACGACAAGGACGACATTTAAAAAATGCCTTGAGGCAGGCGACGACGACGACGACGACGACGGCGTCAAATGATTTATGAAATTGCTTTTGCCGCTGCATACTTCAAGGAAGGAAGAGACACAAGGAGAGAGAGAGATAGAGAGAGAGAGAGTGAGAGAGTGTGTGGTTGGAGGGGGATAAACCGCAAAGGGAGACGCCTGATGGAGCCGCAACTGTTGTCAATTAAGCAACAACAGAGAAATACAATCAACCAGAAACTTCATCAAAGTCGAAATATGCAAATTTTATTTCACTTTCGTCTGCTCGTAATGGAGCTGGGGAAGGACTACAGCGGGGAAAGTAGTTAAAAGCGCATAAAAAATGTATGTAAAATGTAACATTACATTGTTGGTCTCTCTATGCGATTCTCATAGATTCAGATGGCATGAAGGCGGCATGGGAAAAGCGGATTGGAGTGAGACTAAGAGAGATGGGTAGATGAGGAGTTAGAGTTAGTTAGAGAAGAAGTTGACAGGGAGAGAAAGCAAGACAGAGATATAGAGAAAGAAGCTGAAACGGAGACGGAAAGAGATACATAGAGTGAAAGAGAGAGGGGGAGAGAAAAAGATGAAGAAATACAGAGAAGAAAATAGAGATATAGAGAAAGAAACTGAGAGAGAGGGAAAGAACTATAGTACATCGCTAAATATACATGGGGGGAGATAGAGAGTAGAAGTAAAGTGAGAGAGAGAGAGAAAGAGAGAAATAGGGAGAGGAAGAAAGCGATATAGAGAAAAAAGCTGAGATAGTGAGGGAATGAAATAGTGAAAGAGGGAGGGAGAGAGAAATAGACAAAGAAATAGAAAGAGGAAAGGAGAGATATATAGCGAAAGACCTACGTAGATATAGAGTGAAAGATAAATATACATGGAAAGAGAGAGGGAGAGAGATAGAGAATGGGCGTTAAGTGAGAGTGAGAGAATGAAGGGAAGGAAACGATGCTGAGAGGTACGAAGAAAAAAAACAAAAAAAAAAGAAAAGAAAAGAAAGAGGACGAGAGAAACAAAGAGAGAAATTAGAGGTCAAAATGCGAGAGAAAAAGAGAGTGAGAGATAGAAATTAAGAAAGGGAAACAAATAAGTATATATCTACATATGAATATACATAGTATATATAACTCTCTCTCTCTCTCTCTCTCTCTCTCTCTCTCTCTATCTCTCTCTCTCTCCCTCTCTCTCTCTCACTCTCTCTCTAGTAGAGAAAAAGTAGAGAAAAAGAGAGGCAGATAATCTAGTACCTACATAAAGAGATAGGCAGAGGGAAGCAAGAAAACGAGAAGGAGAGAGCAAACCTATTGGAGATACCCAATGAAAGCGCTAGGAAGGAACAAACTGAGATTTGTATGTGAAGTCAGAGAAATGAAACGCATGAGATTCGAACATATTCAGTATACATATATATATATTTGGAACTATCAATTATTATGCGCATCGGCTCGGTCAACGTGAGAGTGGGAGGAGCTAGTCGATCTGGGTGACGGACGCCTCATCGTTGCTGGAGCAGCGGCTGCTCTCGCCGTCCGTGCGGTACTTGATGGAGTCGATGATCTCGACGTCGATGTCTCGCTCGTGCTGCTGGCTGTTGGTCTCCAGCAGGGCGCCGGCCATGTCGCTGGAGCCTCGGCCGAGGGAATCGTCGTCGCAGAGGTCCGTGGCACAGGCCGAGGCCGATTCGGACTTGGTGTCCAGGTCGCCGCCCACGGCAGCCGCGGCCGCAAACTGGCTGTAGAGCCGCGGCAGATGCTGCAGCATGTAGCTGGCCCCAGACTTGGACAGGTTGGCGGCAGCGGCGGCTGCTGCTGCTGCTGCGGCTGCCGCTGCTGCCGGCTGATTCTCCTTGCTCTCGCCGAGATCGTAGTACTTGGCGTAGTGCTCGAATTTGCCCAGCGGACCCACGCCCGGGCAGCTGGTGGTGCTGCTGCTGCCGCCGCCTGCCCCACCCCCTGCTCCGCCGCCAATGGCGGACAAGTTGATGGCATCGTTCTGCGCTGACTTGGGTATGGGCACAGTGAAGGCGGAGCCGTGGCGCTGCTTGCTCAGCAAATTGCTGTTGCTGTTGCTGTTGCTGCTGGCCAGGCCGCCGCCAGCTGTGGCTACATCCTCGGCTGCCAGCAGAGCGCCGCTGTTGCTGTTCGAGAGCGGCGACAGGTTCTCCTTCTTGCGGTCGTAAATGTGGCCGGAGACGCGCAGATCGATGAAGAAGTGCAGCGGGTCGATACCGTAGGGCGCATAGAGCGGCGGATACCAGACGGGCGGCGGCGGCGGCAGCACCAGATCCTGTGGCGGCAGCGATGCTGCCGGCGTTGCGTTCTCCTCCAGCGCGCTGTCCACGGCGCCGCCCAGCGCGGCCTTTGTTAGCGGCTTCGTCTCCAGCTTGCTGTAGCCGTACGGCGTGGCTGTGGGCGTCGGTGTCAGTGTGGGCGTGGCCGATGTCTTGTTAGTCAGCTCGAGCGGCTTCTCAGCGGTTGCGCTAGCAGCAGTTGCTGCGGCGTTTGCAAGTTGCTGCTGCTGCTGTTGTTGCTGCTGCTGATGATGTTGGAGATGTTGCTGCTGCTGTTGCTGATGTTGCTGCTGCTGCTGCTGCTGTTGCTGTTGCTGTTGCTGCTTCTCCTCGGCGTCGCGCCGCTCGCGCAGCTGCTCGTAGTAAGGTCTGTGCGACCAGGAGCGTTTGCGTGAGCGTCGCACCAACGCCGCCTGCTGCTGTTGTTGCTGCTGGTGTTGCTGCTGCTGCTGCTGTTGCTGTTGTTGTTGCTGCTGCAGCTGCAATACACGCGCGGTCTCATTGTTGCGCGTCTGCACCAGCGAGCGCAGCATATCGCTGAAGAAATAGTTGTTAGGGCCAACGGGCGCCGAGTACAAATATGGGGGCGTGGCAGCCATCAAGCGGCTGACGTAGTCCTGATTGCGCAGCTCGTGTATGTTGCTCTTGCGCGGCGGCAATGGTTGCTGCTGCGGCTGCTGCTGTTGCTGCTGCAGTGACTGGGCGGCTGCTGCTGCTACTGCTGCCTGCTGTGCCGTTGTGGGCGTGGCTGTTGCTGTGCTGTTGCTGCTGGGACTGCTAGCATTGTTGTTGTTGTTGTTGTTGTTGCTGGTATTATTATTCGTGTTGTTGTTGTTGCTGTTGCTGCTGCTGTTGTTGCTGCTGCTGCTGTTGCTGCTGTTGGCATTGCTGCCGCTGCCATTGCCATCCTTCATATTTTCAATGCTGCAAGCAAACAAAAAAAACCCAAAAAGGCGATTAGGTGTGAGTGGAACAGTCGGGCATAGCCGAGTGCATAATACTCGTCTATGCACCAAATGAAGATAGCTTAGACTACATTTTGGAAATTTTGAATTTTTATCTCTTGAAGATTAATCCAAGAATAAAGTTTACTTAGTCAGGAATGAATTGCTGTTGCAGCTGGTCGAATGATATATAATATTAAAAATGATCTTAAAGGTTCATAAACTTCATGGGTTAAATATCCTATCATGATGCGCAATGTTTGTGTATGTGTGTGTACGTAGTCATATGTATGTGCATGGATCTAGAGAATCTGCAGCTTCTACAACTATATGATAATATCTATAGACAATATTTATATAGATGACAGCTACTCATATTAGGACTAGCTGAGATTCTCTAGCTGAATCTTAAGTTTGAATCGCATTAAAACAGATTCAACTTTGTATTAAGAATCGCAAATAGTAAATAAAGCTTTTGTCAACTTTAAATTTAACGTTCATCAATCTAAGTTTCTCTTCGGCAATCGAGAACTTTTGGCTATGCAATTTATTGGCTTGGATTAAAATAGAATATTGAAAAAAAAAAAAAAAAAAACAAGTAAGAAGACTCTAGTCGAGACTGCTCGACTAGGAGATACCCTGAACCCTCTAATCTGATATTCTAATCAGTCTAGACGTACAGTTTAATTTCTAGACGTACAATCTTAATGAAACTTTAAGAGCGTAATCATATGGTTAAAATGTATGTACATTCCAAAGCACACGTCTCTAGTACTTGAAATACGCCTTTTAAAAAGGTGAGGGTGAGGGGGTGGATATAAGGGTGGGGGGTAAATTTTGATAAAAAACGAAATTATATAAAATACATATAAGTCTACATTTAAAATTTGCAAGCTCTAGCTCTAAAGGTGTAGGAGATATAATTAAATAACTAGCTTTCGATAAGGTTTTTAATCGATAATAAAATATCGGGGGTAGTTATCGATATATAAAGAAAAACTTGATATGCGCGTGATATACACGGACCTAGGACAAAAAATTTCTCTAGCTCTTATATCTTCTGAGATCGACGCGTTCATACATACGGACGGACGGACGGACGGACGGACAGACAGACGGACAGGGCCAAATCGACTCCGCTCGTCGCCCTGATCAAGAATATATATACTTTGTGGGGTCTGCCACGCCTCCTTCTGCCTGTTACATACTTTTAACAAAACCATTATACCCTGATTTCCCATTTTCAATGGGTTCAGGGTATAAAAATCAAAGAATAGTAATATTAATATAAAAGTAAAGAATCTATAAATATAGATCATCCTAGAATTTTTGTTATTAATTTTTAGCTAGAGCTAGATTAAGCTAAAGATAGCAGCAAACTTATTAATATAATATAACAACTTTTACAAAAAAAAGTTTATCGGCTTCATTTAGTAGATCTTCAGTCAACTTCAAATCTCAATTGCCTTCAACTTAAAGGCTTTATTACGTTTGCTGAGAATTTCTTGGATTCGTACTCCCTGTACATCAGCAAGTATTTAATATAATTGAAAAATATGTTTGCTCGTAGCATTTGCATCGTCTTAAGCTGTTTTCAAGTTTCGTCCAGTCTCTCTCTCTCCCCTCTCCCCGCTCTCTCTCTCTCTCTCTCTTTGTCTCTGCTGTTGACTTTTGAATAAGACGTTGTTCAAGATTTATGTCCATATTTGCATTGTCTTCGTTAACGTCTTCACTGCGTCGACTGTGTCCTGTGGCACGCCCATCTGCTGCAACAGCCACTCAGCCCCCTGCCCCCACCACAGCCTCGGCCACAGTTGTGTACCTTTTATTGCGGCTTGCAGTTGAGTCGGGGCTGCTCTTCATTTTCCATTTAATGGCAATTAAAAATGATTTCCCATTTGGCCAACTGTGGGCGTCTGTGTGTGCCTAGGAAGCAACGAATTAAAGGACAACTCGGATTCTAGATCTAGTTCCAGTTGGACTCGTGTCTACTTTAATATACTAGGTTCATTATACTCTGCCAACTTCCTTTTTGTCTTTACCCTTTCAATCATATTTTCGTTTTCAAAATTCAATCAAGCTTATAGCAGTTATTGTCAATTTATATTAGAATATCTGATATTTAAAATTTCATTTACCATTAACATTTACGGTTAACAGTTAATGACTGTTAATGTGCTCGGTATGATCCGAGATGTTTTTAAACCAAGGATCCACTGTATAAATTTCTGTTAAAATATCATTTACATTTTTTAAAGTGTTAAAGTCCCATTAGCTTCCCCTTTAAATATAATAACAGGAACACAAATGTTAAAATATCGCGAATATTTATATTTATGTTAAGATCATATCAACATTTCTGTTTATATAAACGTTGTGCTAACATTCCTGTCCCCCAAGTTACCATAAAACTTCCTTATTTCTTTGAATATGCAATATAAACAGCATCAATTTCACATATACAGATGTATGTTTCACATATCTCTTGATTTTCAATTCTTCTCTGTTGATTTTCAAGTCACATTAACAGCATCAATTTCACAGCCGCTTAACAGTTGAGCTCAATTGTTCTACAGCTGGAGCAAATCTAACTAATCTGCTGTGATGCACATATGTGCTGATATTCTGTGTGAAATAGAAGCCCCAGACACGCACACAGGTAGAGAGTGAGATTCACAGAGAGAGAGAGAGACAGACATATAACTCTATCTCTCTCTTTTTAGACTGTGGATTACAGCATTTGCTGCACGTGTTTTCTGTGGCGCACTTTTACCAATTTGCATAGAAAAACAAGCGGCATAAAAACACTTCAATACACGCACACACACACACACACACACACACACACACACACACGTACACACACACATACATATGCACACCCACTTGCGCTTAGTCTGTTAATAAGCTTACACGACGCGCCAAATTCCAGAAAATTAAATGTTTCAATGGTTGTCACACACACACACACACACAGAGAGAATCGCACCCCAACTTGCCACACACACACACACATACACACAGAGAGGAAAACAAACTCAATTGTTTTGTTCGCCTGCCAAACTGTTGAGGCACTTGTCGCACCGCGCCTGTTGATGTGCCAGCCACACGTTTGCCTCTGCCTGTATCCTGTTCTTGTCAATTCTAAGCCCCCTCCCCCCACCACTCTTCCCCCTTGCCATTCCCACCCCCAATCACATCCACTCATCGTGTTGCTCTTTCATTTTCGCATCAGAAAACAAAAAAAAAAAAAACAAACAAAAAAAGGAGCAAAAGTTTTGTTGCTGCTGTCGCGTCTGTTGCTTTGCCAACTTGTTGTTGTTGTTGTTGTTGTTGTTGCTGCTGTCGCTTCCTCTTTCTTTTAATAAAACATTTTTTATTGTTTTTTCATTTGGTTGTAAAAATATATAAAAGTTTTCAACTGTCGCTTGGCGATTTGCATTTTTTTGGCAGCGCTGCCGAAGGCGCCGCATTTCGGACCAAGTTGAAATTAGATTATGCTAATTAAGGCGTGGGTAGCCACGCCCCACATCCCACTCCTTCCCAACTCCCCTACTCCTTCCGCTGAAGCACTGATTGATGCGGCAGAGCTTTAATTGGCCGCGTCTCGCCCTGCTGCTGCTGCTGCTGCCTCTGCTCCTCTGCTCCTCTGCTGCCTCTGTCGCTGCTGCTGCTGCTGCTGGCCGAGCAGCATTTTAATATTCAATCAGCAGCTGGCGGCAACTTTTTTATGGCCACGTCAACAAACTTGGCCAAGCGAGCGCGCCAGTTAAGTCTGCAGCTGAGATTAATGCCCAGCTGGCAAAAGTGCAGCAGCAGCAGGAGCCGCAGGAGCAGCAGCAACATCTTTGAGTTCTGTTTGTGTTGCGGCAAACAAAAATAAAACTTTTGCATAGTTGCGTAGCCACAATTAAAGCGAGCAGCAACTGTTGCTGTTGTTGCTGTTGCTGCTGCTGCTCGACGGCAACAACTATTGCTGCTGCCGCTTGTTGTTGCTGCTGCCGTTGTGCTAACAGCTGCTGCTGGATTACTCTTTGAGAATCATTTTAATAGGCGGCTGAGGAACTAGTTCCATAAGGCGGAACTGATCCTATTTGTAAAAATATAGAATATAGAATACAGAATATAGAATATAGAATATATAATATATAATATATAATATATAATATATAATATAGAATATAGAATATAGAATATATAATATAGAATATAGAATATAGAATATATAATATATAATATATAATATAGAATATAGAATATAGAATATAGAATATAGAATATAGAATATAGAATATAGAATATAGAATATAGAATATAGAATATAGAATATAGAATATAGAATATAGAATATAGAATATAGAATATAGAATATAGAATATAGAATAGAAGAATATAGAATAAGAAAGAATATATGGATTACAAAATATAATTTTGTATATATTATAATTATCTCTGGCATATAATTGGAATTTTAAAGTTATCGCTCCATTTTCCTCTCTCTCTCTCACTGTCTGCCTCTCTCTCTCTCTCTCTCTCTCTCTGCCTCACACACACACTCTTTTGCAGTTTTCACAGTTTTTGATTGATATATGCCTAAATATCGTCTACCTTGGACATAAATCAAACCAACCCCCTTTGGTGGGCAACCCTCAATG